CCCTTGTGCTCTTTTTAAAGAAGTGTATATTTTTTCGGGTTCTTCAGACATTTTGGGTTCTTCAGACTCTTTGGGTTCTTCAGGTTCTTTAGGCTTTTTGGGTTCTTTGGGTTCTTCAGGCTCTTCAAGTTTTTTTCTAGATGCCATGTGAGAACCCAAAGAGTCTGAAGAACCCAAAATGTCTGAAGAACCCGAAAAATTAGAGGAACCCAGAAGGCCCAAAGAACTACAACTTGAGGAAATTTAAGAAAGATCTTAGGAAAGGTTACAAAGAAAATTACAAGGAAGACCGCGAGGAAGATCACAAGGAAGATCACAAGAAAGGCCCTGAGGAAGAACACAAAGAAAGTTGCAAAGAAGGCACTGATAAAGGGTACAAGGAAGGTCACAAAGAAGGCCCCGAGGAAGGTTACAAGGAAGGCCCTGAGACAAATCTCAAAGAAAGGTTTCAGATTATTCCTTTTTTATAAACATCACTATATATTTTCTTCTATAAACATGATTGCACATCTCCAGCTCATGGATTCCGGTATGATAAGATACTTTAAATCAAAGTATAAAACTATTTATTGCTGTTATTTGCTCTCACAATTTGAAAAAAATACGGAACAAAGGTAAAAAGTTTGGTTTAGTGTTTGCTATTCCTTATACTAACTATTTATAAATATAGGATACTTATTTTACGAGAAGCTATCAACTTTATTTTTGATATATGGGGTGATATTAATGACACAACTATAGTAAATTGCTGGAGGGCCACCAGAATTATGCCAGAAGTTAATAAACCAGGAGAAAGTAGACAAGAAGAGAATAGACTAGAAGAACCAGAAGATGAATCTGAAAATATAACTTCTGAAGATAATGATGTTGAAATGCTAATTAAAGATTTTTCGGTTAAGACTAACCCAGAAGTTCAAGAATTGATAAATAATATTAAAGAATATACTAACCTGATAAATCAACTAGTTGTAACTGAGGATGTATTAATGGATGAAGATATTGTCGAAATGGTGAATTACGAGTTTCATGATGATGATGATGATGATTCTGAAGACAATAATAATGAAGAACCTCTACCTCTAATTACTATTACTGATTTCACAGAAGCCTTGGAAAAGGTTATAAAATATCAAAAAAGTCTTGAAGTAAGAAAGGGGTTAAATGAAAATAAACTAATGATGCTGCAAAAAAAACTCAAAGAATGGCATTATAAAAGGGATAAAAATAAGAAACAACTTTCAATTTTATCTTTTTTTGATCTAAATAATTAAAGCAGTTAGAGCGATAATAAAGGAAAGTTATATATATATTTTTTTTTTTACCCTAAAAATTTATTTTGAAAAATTCTTTCAGAAGCAATTTTATTCTGTCAAAGTAGTGTTGCTGAAGAACAAGTTGAAATAATAATAGAAGATGAAGTTGCTAAGTTAATAGATGCATTTAAAGATTTTTATCAATCTCATAAACTTAACCTCTAAAATTTACATTTGAACTCCTTTATTTTTTCTTCATTAAATATATTTATATTTGCATATTGAACTCATCCTGGCAAAAATTAACTATGAGCTTCACACTTGCTATTAAAAAAAAAAAAAAAAAAAGAAATCGACTTAAGCCTAACTCAAAGAATACTAAATGATATGCATAGTTGAAGTCTTTCAGATTAGGAAAAAGAATACAGTTCTGACTTTTGTGTCTAGATCGTCTAGACTAAGTTTTAAATCTAGATCTAAATCATAATATCTAGATCTAAATTGTAACAATTTATATATGTATGGCAGAAATCTAAAAATCTCATTACTTGTATAAAATAAAAGATCAATTAACACATTGAAGCTAAGCTAAATATATTATTTTTAATAGTTTCAAGTATGCATTGTATAGTGATAGTTGCTATTAAGTGCGTATTATTCTTAGTGTGTAGAACTTTAACTTTATTAAGATTGATAATTTAAGAATTTGTATTCAACAAGGTGCACATATGTACGTATTTGTATATATATATGCACATGAGTAAAAAATTAACGGCATCCTCTGATTGGTTGTTTATTATAAATTATTATTGGCTAATTTAAAATATAATGTTATAGAGAATGATTTATATAGGCTATTAATAAAAATTTGTGATAGTAATTATAATGCAATTGTGATTATATAAAAGTGAAATTATTAATAAAAAAATTCAGTCAATAGGAAAATATAATTATACTAAGTTTGTGATTATATAGAGGGTGACTATAGAGAGGTTAGACTATAGTTGCATTCTGATAGAATATATAGATAAAACTATTTATATAGTCTAGAGATTTGATAAAAAAAATAAATATTTAGTAAACATTTTCATATTTTAATATTTAAAGCATATATTTTTTAAATTAATTACAAAAAGTCAAAAGTATTAAATATTGTACTATATTTAATTAATAATTGAGATTATATGAGGGCTTTGCAGTAGAAAGGGCCCAAACTAACATTTTTTTCAAAAGAACTTTTTTTATATAAATCAA